GAACCAGGCTTCAAGCTCTCTGTTGCTCTTGGCGGCGCTGGCAGCGTATTCTTCTCTGATTTCTTCCATTATCGCAGCGAGGTCGGGTCCTGACGGGGCGTCAACCTCCACGTTGATCTGACCACTCATCTGAGTCCGCATGGCAAGCAGCTCCTGCAGAAAAACAACAGAGAGACTAATTAAAGTAGAATTCCAGACTTGTATTTTCCAGAAAATTTCCATAGCCTGTGCGAACCTAATTCATAAACATCTTTAATTTAATTTCTTCTTGAATTATATGAACCCCTTCAATGGATGAAAGAGAGTCACTGACCTCCTCGTGGTTCTTTCTAAGGAAGACCAACTCCTCCTTCAGACCCTCGATCTGCATCTCCAGGTCGGACCTGCACATTGTCAGATCGTCCAGGACCCTCCTCAGCCCGGCGATGTCTGCCTCCACAGACTGGCGCATGGCCAGCTCGTTCTCGTACCTACAATGGAGGATAAATTAATAAAACGGGTTGAATCAGTCTTTCTAGGGAAATCTCTCATCTCTTCGACTGTCAATAAAATATGAGAAAGCAGAAGTAGTGTTTGCTGTCATGGACTCCTATCCCCGCTCTTTTTTTGCTTGCTATCTGTAGCCTATGTGATTTTACAAGATAATTAGCTTGGTAGCTAACTGGGCAGTGCACAATAGATGTATCGGAATTGTGAACTCTTGTCTCCAGCCACAGAAGCAGTGTCACTGGAAAAAATGTAAAGAAGATGTTTTTGCTAAATTCCAGTTAACTGACTATCTGTAAGCTAGCTAACTAGCTTGATGGCAAACTGGACCATTTGACATTAAAGTATCATAGATTCCTGTCTGTCAACGGTAACTAAAAGAGATAAAACACTTCTCTTGCTCATTATCCGTCTACTCAATTACCGTAAGCTAGCTAACTAGCTTGAAAGCTATGAGGATCGTTTGACCTAAGGACTTGATTGTGTTATTGAACCTGTCAGGTCTGTGTGCTAAATATGTCTCTGACAGAAGACCTGAAGTGAAATTGAAGAATTTGGATTCTCTGGCTCTCCGTACAGTCAGAGGTCAGCACTGTAGAGACACTGGGAGCTGGCCGATGTGCAGATCCTTTCCTTTTTCTTAAGTTAGGACATTTCTTGTCCTGCATCTGCATGCGTGTAGGGTGGATGTGCGCACCCTAGTTTCCCCAATTTTAGCTCCAATTAAGAAATTAATTCACTCACTTGAGCCTGAAATCATCAGCAGCCAGTTTGGCATTGTCGATGTTGAGGTAGATAACACCGTTGTCTTTGGTAGCATCCTGGATCTGAGAGATACAAGAGAAAAGAAATGCTATTTACTTTCAGTTTGTGTTTACCTTGTATAAAGTAACTGTATTGATGAAAAAAAAAATACTACTGATGGAAAGTTAGTGGAGCCCATGAATTAGTCAGAAAAATCCTTTCTGCTTTCTGAGACTTTTTTTTAGCATGAAGAAAACTGCAAATCTATGGTATTGCTTTGATAAACCTAATAATTTCAAGTAGCCATAATTAAAACATAATAATAAACAACGACTAAAATGTTAGTTTCTAACTTTAATTCAATGATAAAAACTCAGTTGCTGTTGTTGTGTCACACGGTCACACAACTAAATATCTGTAGGCATGTCGGAAATTCAACCCACCTTCCCGTGCAGCTCTGCAATGGTGACGTAGTAGGCGCTGTAGTCTCTGGAGGACGGGGAGGTCTTCTTTCCAGGAACTCTCTGATCTTCAGCTCCAGTTCGCTATTGGCAGCCTCCAGCTTGCGCACCTTCTCCAGGTAGGCGGCCAGACGGTCGTTCAGGTTTTGCATGCTGGCCTGAGCAGAGATGTCCATTTCTCCTCCTCCTCCTCCTCCTCCCGCTGCCACAGCCAGCACCAAAGATGAACCCAAAACCACCTCCAGCTCCACCTCCACCTCCACCTCCACTTCCATATCCACCTCCACCTCCAACTCCACCTCCAACTCCACATCCATATCCACCTCCATATCCACCTCCACCTCCACCTCCACCTCCAACTCCACATCCATATCCACCTCCACCTCCACGTCCACCAGAATACATGGTTAGGTACTGGAAGCCACCTCTAGCACCTCCACCACCTCCACCACTTCCGCCAATGGAGGAACCGCAGGACATTCTGGCCGATGATCCAGCGTACATGGATTTACTGGAACCATTACCACACCTCATTGATCTACGTGTAGACATATTGTGATGAGGGTAAAGGAGGCTGTCTTTCTGCTTCAGCTGAGGAGAGGAGACAAGACTGTGGAGATCAGAGAGTGGCTGATGTTTTATACTGTTAGACGAGTCGGTGAGGAGGAGGAGAGATGGATGGAGCCAAGCCATGGGAGGAGACGCCTGTCCTTGTTTAACTCAACAGAAGGGTTAATGGGCTGTAGGTGTGCCTGAGAAATGTGGAATCCACCCATCATTAGTGCATACACCTGTTACTGAACACACAGACAGATCTCAGCTTGAATCAGAGGATTAAAGTATTAGAAGGGCTGCAGGCGCGTTCAAACTTTGATGACATTAAGATTTAAAGTTCCTTCACTACATGCAAAAACACATCCAATCATTTGACAGCAGCAAAGAGTAACCTTCTTCACAATAAACATAAACTGTTATTACATCTTTTTTAAAAGGGAAGGGTTGGGTAACTCTTGGCCGCAAGTTATTGTGGAGGGACTCATGAGCCAAAGCGCCTTAAAAGACTAAACCACTTGTTTGATGAAACAGAGCCTTTGACGTCCAAGTAATCTAGAGTAAACAGAGACAAAGAACTGAGACTAAGGAATGGTTTGTCAAAATATTTGTTAACATCATATATCAAGATAGGATGGAATTGAAACTAAGAGGCAAAGACCCGAGAAAAAGTCTGAAAGTGTTCACTGTGCATGGTGGATTTATGAAAGCCTAAGAGATTAAGGGAGACTATTGTACTTAAGGTGTGGTGAAGTTTTTCAACCGTTAACTAAATCATTACCTGTAAAATGAGTAGAACGTAAAATTACATGAACTAACCCTAACCCATGAACATTTGCCAAAAAAGATTTATCTTTAATCCCTCCGAGTCATATCTGAAACAGGTAGACTGTAGTTCCTTTGAAAGATTGAAATATGCTGTGAAATATGAAATATGTTCAATTCAATTAAATGGTGTGAAAAAGAGTGCAATAACTTAATGATTGACAGCTCTGTTGACAAATGTTCTCTAACACAGAAGGTCTGAGCTTAAAGGGATACTTCACCCATTAGCATTAATCTTTGTATCATCAGAAACCTGGTAGTATTTTTGAATGGTCGTGCATCCCGCCCTCATTTTCCCCTGAGATGGTAAATCTTTGTATTTCTGAGTCTGAAAAGGAGCTTCCAGTGACGCAAAATGACGATTTTTGCGTCACTGGAAGCTGTTGCGGTTAGCGGGTGAAACTACAACGCTAGTTCCTCATATTTTCGACCACTGAAGCTACAGACCAATCACAGATCAGAGGGTGGGAACTCACTCCCAGAATCGAAACTTAACGGCCGCCATATTGCTTGGAAGCTATGCTAACAGGCTCTATGGAGAAAGCTGAGCGAAAAAATATAAATATAGCGTTGAGACGGCTGCTGCCGACAGGCCGGTCTGGTGTTTTGGCTGCTGGGGCCGCCGCTAGCCGCCGCTAGCCTCTTCCACGAGGATTGTCCTCAGCAGCAGATATTTCAAACCCAGTGAAACCTTAACCCCTGATGGTCTGACCCCTGCCCCAGATTGACGAACTGAGCTCGAGACTGTTTGTCCTCATCTCCAGATGCTTTGACCCTCAGAGTGAGATGGTCTAAGCTCTATCTCATATTGTCAGGCTACTTCCTTCAGATGCCCTGACCTTAAAGGCAGATGTTCATCCCTCTGTCCAGATTTGGTCCAACCTTTACCCAAGATGGTTAGATGACCTCAACCCCATTTGACCTCAAATCCTGTTTAATTTTGACTTCTGCTGGAGAGGGTTTAAGCCTAGACCCAGATAGTCTGATGATCAAACCTCTGCTTCAATGATCCAGTCTCAATCCCATATTTTCCAGCCTTTTCACCTCTTTATCCTGATGGTTCGTCTTCTGCATGGTCTGGCCCCAGCTGTAGACCATTTTACTTGAAACCCTGAGGGTCTCTGCTAGTCCAAAGATGATTTGGTATATACTTTAACCAGTATATTTTAAATGACAAAGCAATGTTTGATGAGACCAATGACCTTAAAAGCAGAGTTAATGCATCCAAAATATGATCCTCTGTAATATACAGGCAGGGAAGTATAACCCAGAGCAACTGGATCAGGATCAATGTATAAAAATGAATTAATTTTTTTATAATTTGACATGACAGTATCACACCACAAGTCTGGAAAACTACAAGAAGATCAAGTTAATATACTGTTACACCCATACTGTAGTTCTGACATTTGGATTAAGCTTGTCATAGTACACATTAAGATCTTTAACATGATATAATGAAACCTTTAAATAATTATTTTTAATTATAGGTGCAGTCAACTAGAACCAGATATTAGGAATGTGGATTTAGCCACATGCCGTTAACTTAATCCACGGTGAATAGATATTCAGACTTAACTTTAAGCCCGGCATTCACTGTACGATTATACAAAATTCAGTGCTGAATGTCAAACCCAGTATCCATTTAACTTCTTTTCATATGAGTCTGAATGAGTCATATGAAAGTTAATGAGCTCTCGATTGAACACCACAAAACTGCCTTTTAAGATCTGATTACTTATTACATATTTTTTTAAATTATACATTTTTCACTAAACTGTTGGTCCATAGTCTTGGAGAGAAAGGCTGACTAAACACTAGAATTCTTTGAAAATAATAAAATCTGACACTGAGCAGCACAGAGCAGAAACAAAAGAAGCTTTTGGTCACAATCATCCTTAAAGGTGTGGAGGTTTGCATTAGAGGGCTGCAATGGGAGCTGGATCTTACAGGTTCGGTGGTACCCAGCGCCAATCTGGTGGGACTGGGCAGTCAGAAATAAAATTACTGCGGGTCCTGGATGGTCCCAAATAGCTAGCTTCCACCAAATAGCACCAAATAGCTTGTATCATTCAACAATGATAGAATTAACAAATGCAGTGGAAGGAAGATTCAACTTTTTTTTTTCAACATTAAGATAAAGCGACAAGTCTGCCATTTAGACACATTTTTAATTTTTCTCTTTTACAAACAAATAAGTTACTGACAACGATGTAAACAAATTTCAATTTCTTTTTTTCGCCGCAGATGTGAAAAAGTTCTACAACGGGCACAAATCCGGCAATGGGATCTGGGACAAGACACATGCTCCGTTCTCCCCCATCAAAGTAAGCTCTCCTTCAATAAAGCACTTCTTAAACACACAGATAAATGTGGCACACGATGCTGTAGAGACATTAGCTGAGATGGCAGGGTTTAAATGTTCTTGCTATTTGTTAATTGGGCGAAAACGCTGCAGGCATATACTGTATGTCTGAATAGAGTGTGTCTGTCGACTTTGCTGCAGCCAAACAGTGTGATGCTTATTAATCAATTCAATTCTTTTAAATCCCTTCTTAAAACGTACTTTTACAGACTTGTTTTTACTGGTTTTACTATTTTTATCTTGTTTTACTTCTTACTGTTCTTTTATTTATGCTCTTATCTTAACTCCTCTTATGTTTTAACTTGGTAATTTTTTATCTTCCTTACTTTGTCTATTTATGTTTTATATTTATATATACTTTTTATTTTTATTAATATTATTGTTTTTTTTGTTTTTTTGATAATTTATTCATTTGTTTCTATTTCTTTTCCTGCTCTTACCTTCTTATTGCTGTTATCTTTTGATTTGCTTTGAGCTCTTTAGTTTCTTACATCTTTTTAAATCTTTGGTCCTCTTGGTCTCAGCTCGTGTTGTTGGGTTCTTGTGTTGCCTGGGTTCTTATGATGGTTCTTGTGATGGTTCTTATGATGGTTCTTCTGATGGTTCTTGTGATGGTTCTTGTGATGGTTCTTGTGATGGTTCTTATGATGGTTCTTGTGATGGTTCTTGTGATGGTTCTTGTGATGGTTCTTATGATGGTTCTTGTGATGGTTCTTGTGATGGTTCTTGTGATGGTTCTTATGATGGTTCTTCTGATGGTTCTTGTGATGGTTCTTGTGATGGTTCTTATGATGGTTCTTGTGATGGTTCTTGTGATGGTTCTTGTGATGGTTCTTATGATGGTTCTTGTGATGGTTCTTGTGATGGTTCTTGTGATGGTTCTTATGATGGTTCTTCTGATGGTTCTTGTGATGGTTCTTATGATGGTTCTTGTGATGGTTCTTATCATGGTTCTTGTGATGGTTCTTATGATGGTTCTTGTGATGGTTCTTGTGATGGTTCTTGTGATGGTTCTTATGATGGTTCTTGTGATGGTTCTTATGATGGTTCTTGTGATGGTTCTTGTGATGGTCGGGTTATATACATAGACTGTAAATATTACTGGACAAACCCTGACCCGTCTGTTACCTAGGCAGCAAATGAGTCCAATCGAGGGCCGCATCCATATTGGATTTGCAGTCTCAACCTAACTTTGGATCAACCAAGCAACATGCAGTAAGGCAGGACCAGCGGGACTTAACTCGTTAGCGGTCCACTTCACAGCATCGCTAACGGCTAGGCTGCTATCATCCCCTATTCCTGCTCGTCCTGAGTTATCTCTATAAACAGTAAGTAAACATTTAACTTTTCTACAACACAGTTAAAACTAATTATATTCAACCCAAATATTTAATTAAAGTCTCAAAACTACACTTTGTTAAATATACAACTATGGTTATTAGTTATTTGTCAGAGCAGTTAGACTTTGTCGTTGTTAGCAGAGAAATACATTAACAAAGTTTTATCCATAAACTGTAAATAAATATGAGACATCCAGAAGAAATCAATATTACAAAGCATACAGTTCATGTTACTGTTCTGACAAAAAGAGGAATGTCTGTGTTTTATATTTACTGATGTCAACAGCGATGAGGTGAACATGACAACTGAAAAATAATTATTTAGTATTTATTATAAGATATTTGTTTTCTATTGAACCTGTGAAGTCATGGAGTCTGTGGACAGTGTCAGCTTCACACCAAAAACTTTAAGTATTAGAAAAAATAGTGTTTAAGACTGGCATCTATTATGATGAGCTGCAGCTACCTTGTTCAATATTATTCCTGCAGATGTGGCTCATAACAAAAAAACAGCCTGAACTGTCACATGTAGTTAACTGTACATTTTGTCTTGTCTGAGGCATTAATTGAACACCTTTGTATTTCTCCTATAGACACAGTGTGGATTATTGGTGACTGGTCCGTCGAGGTGCCCAGAGAGCTGCAGAGACAGAGGAAGAAACCTGAGCTTCAACAACATCTGCATTTGTTGGTTCTTCTGGGGTGGACTTCAGTTGCTTCTCTTCAACAGCTCGCTGTGAGGGAGGTCTGAGTGATGTCACCCACAGGCTGAGAGCTGAGGCGGGTTTTAAACCTCCTGACAAACCATTACACCGCACCCGCCTGTCAAGCTGGTCAGCTACACGCCTTATTGTGAATAACTCTTATTCTTCATCAAATCAAAACTGACACACCCCCCCCCCCCCATACAGTGTGTGTCTATCGAGACATGAGCTAATCACACCTATTTGTTTGTTTTGTACCAAGCTGTAAACATGTTCATCTCTGCTGTAAAAACAGCATGTTGTTTTTCATATTAAATAAATATTTCTATATAAATGCACTCCTTTATGTCTACTTATGAGTATACATTTCAGATTTGAAATGACAAGACTAAAATGTGCATTAATGCTCAACTCAACAGCTTAGGGAAGGAAGTCTACTTTTACACAACTTTTTATTCTTTCAACATTTTTTTTTACCAAATACTAATGTAGTTCATTTCTGAAAGTGGGATGGAACAGAGTCATTGCCACATTTGCCCTTAAACACAGCCCCATTCTTAAATCAAGATACATGGAGAGTAAATAAGATCAATAACTTGTGAATAAAAACAGTTAAAAATGATTTAGAAATGTAGTCTTCCCAGATCAATATCACATAATATCAACTTCTCCCATCTAAACTGGACAAAGGGTTTTAAAATGGGAAGAAAATGGTTTGATTGCAAGTTGTTTGGAGGAGATCTATTTTTATTTGAACAGCATGAATACAGTCTTCCAAGGTGCAAACCCTCCTCCTTCTTCTGAAGCTTGTGGAGCTCCTTCATGTACTGCTGTCTTATCTGCTGGCCATCTTCTCTCACCAGAACTTCGACTGTTGAAAAGTCATTCAGAAGAAGCTCGAGCATGTGACATGGATCCAGGAGAACATGGACTTTTAGTGAGAGGTCTTCAGGATGACAAAGAAAGAGAGAAAATATCAGTTATTCATTAAATCATTTTTTTTGTTCTCATCTATTTTTCTGTATTCATCTGTGTGTAAGAGCACATTTATAAATTCAACAGTGTACTACCCAGACAACAAAGGTACAGTATTCAGGTAATCAACATCTATTCAAAGTTAAGAAGATAAACATTATTGTAATCATGCTGTTTTCAGCTCTCTCACTCACACAATGATATTCCACATCAAATTGTCTCAGATTTTGTGAGGAAAAATTAAGCAGTTTATTGTGGATAGTACTTCATCTTAACATGAAACAAATATAACCTGAATTATTTAAATCATTAACAGGTCCCAACTCTCTGTGCTTTAGTACAGAACATACAGTAACTCATTTATTATTAACATGAGCTCAGTACATGGCTGTATTCTTCAAACTATTTCTTATACTTTATATCTATGTGCTTTAAATCTTATTTTCATTCCATATGTTATTTATATTTTATATTTCTACAGCTATATTCTGTGTATGAGTTCAGTGAAAATTAATATGGTTATTAATATAGTTCTTAATGGTTACAGATGCTCTTACAAAGTGAAGTTTTTTTTAAATTTGTTAACAGTTTGCTCAAATCTTAAGACACTACATCAACCATGTAACTTTAATGTCATCCTCTATAACCTACACAGCACATTAGGTTCAGTTCAGTTTATGTTACTGACGGATAATTACTACACAAAGTTTGTTTTTTAATGTCCACATTTAGGTGGAGTATAACATTCATCATAACGTCAGATAACCATATTTACAGTCTGTGGTTAACCACCGAGATGAACCTTTAGCTTCTAACATCACACAAACTCATTATTTTCAACAACAACATCTTAACAACAAACATTTCTAAAGCATTGTAAATAATGTAAATAATGTAAATAATATAACAAACTCTCCAAACGAAGTAAGAAAGAGGAGAAATCAGACGGATCAAGCTGTTAGCCTCCTGACCTGCTGACCTCCTGACCTGCTGACCTCCTGACCTCCTGACCTGCTGACCTCTGACCTCCTGACCTGCTGACCTGATAGACAGATGCAGCGCGCAGAGCTGTCAATCAAATCTGACACAACCAAATATGGGCATAGTCGTTTTCCTTAATAGAATAAAATCCGATGAGTTATAAAAAAATTCACCCCCCCCACAGTGTGAGGAGAAGGGGCCGTCAACTTCTCAGATATATCTCGTTTTTTGAACCAGGCTGTAAACATGTTGATTCCTGTGGTAAAAACGGGCTTTTTTGGCTGTGGGCTTATGGCACTTCCGGCACTTCTGCAGCCAGCCTCAAGAGGAACCTCGAGGAACTGCAGTTTTTTGTACTTCCGCATTGACTTCATTTTTTCGAGACCGGAGGTTGCCCCTTGGTTCTATATGTCTGTTGGGTATCGTGCACTTTGGGTTCTTTTCTGTTGAATTGTATTTAATTATTTGTAGTATTTTGCATTTGTTTGCTGTTTTTTATGTTCTTCTGTGTTTGGTTTAGTTTGTTCTTGTTTTTGCTGTTTGTCAAAGCACTTTGTAAACCTGTGTTTTTAAAAGGTGCTATAGAAATAAAGTTATTATTATTATAATAGCTGAGGGCCAGATTCACATAAGGATTGTGTTGCTTTTGTTTACTCTAGACCTGAGCAAATGAACACTTATTCACTTATTCTAGCATATCCAACGTAGCTTAGGCCGTAAATACATGATTGATGTGACCTGTAGTTTTGTATGTTGCTAAAGACATATATATGTATGTATAGTAATGGTCAGGTTGGCATCAGTGTTCAGTTTATACTGTTTTTTTATGTAACAGGCGTTAAGTAAGTATGTGGTTTTCTGACAGCTAAAGACTGCATAAAAAGATGGCTGCTTCCGTAATTGGAGCGCCCTCCTGCTAACCGGCTGTAGTGTAGTTCATAAGCTCCACCTCCTCAATGGTA